TTTTTTTTTTTTGTATATTTGACTTGGGTGATCTGGTCACCCTAAGTAGGTAGATTCTAAATGAACAAGTCATGCACTGCCACAGCAGCAAGATGCCAAACCGTTATCCAAACTGTACACCTAACTTAGACATCATCCCAGGAACTGGAGGGAGGCATGTACAACTGCAAGTAGATGTTGGTGATGTTCTCCTGAACCCTGCTCTCAGAGCCAGCCTGCCGCCTGCAGCTAAAAGTTCAACGGTTTATTGGCAGATAAGGTCACATCATACACAACTAAAAAATGGGAAATACGCGGCTAGGCAGTAGAACTGCAGAAAAGGATCTGGGGGTTATAGTGGATCACAAATTGAACATCAGTCAGTGTGATGCTGTTGCAAAAAAGGCTAATCTCATTCTGGGGTGTATTAAGAGGACAGAGGACACAGGAGGTAACTGTCCCGCTTTACTTGGCATTGTTGAGACATCAGCTGGAGTACTGGGGTTTTAGGAAAGATGTGGATAAATTAGAGAGAGTCCAGAGAAAAGCAACAAAAATGATGAACGGGTATAGAAAACATGACCTATGAGAAAAGGACTGGGTATGCTTAGTCTAGAGAAGAGAAAGCCGAGGAGGGACCTGACAACAGTCTTCAAATATATAAAAGGTTGTTTTAAAGAGGACAGCTCCATTGTTCTTCATGTCCACTGAAGGTAGGACAAGAAGTAATTGGCTTCGTTAGCAGCAAGGGAGATTCAGGGTAGATATTAGGAAAACCTTTCTAAGGCTAGTTAAGCACTGGAACAGGTTACCTAGGGAGATTGTGGCATCTCCGTCACTGGAGGATTTTAAGAACAGGTTAGCCATCCATCTGTCAGGGATGGTCTAGTATACTTGGTCCTGTCTCAGCACAGGGAGTGGGGATGGAATAGATGATCTCTTGAGGTCCCCTCCAGTCCTACATTTGCATTAGTTCTCTGATAGAATGGGACTGATCTAACTTTCTTAACAACAGGACTCTCCATTTAGGAAAAGGTGCGTGAAAAACGTGCTGTGCACCAGAGACTGGAAACACACCAGAATGTTACCGGGAAAATGATTTGCGCACTACAGAGTGAAAAGCATCAAACACGGCCTGCCCTACAAGGTGAGAAGAGGCAATCCCAAAAGGTATCCAGATAGTTAATATTAGGCTTGCATTATCTGGCCAGTTGAGTCTTGGTAATGCGAGATCATCAGCTAGATGACAGGACAGTTACACAAGATAGCTCTGGTAAGGAACAAGAAAGCGTTTAGTTTCAGATATGTGGACATAACCATGCAGCCCCAGGAGGACTTAATTGGATTTTATGGCCCCAAGCTAGCTGCGGGCAGGGGAATAGGGTGTGTCTGGCAGCAGCACTGAATGCTTGGGTGATGGTGCCCTCACTGTGAGACGAGCAGTTGTTCTGCCAGAGGTCGTGGAGGAGAGAGAGGAAATGGTTTGCCACCCCCCATTTCCCTTGAAGGCTGACATACTTGCTGCTGAGAACTTTGGGTGGACTGAAACCCCCCTGGCAGCAACTCCACCTCAGTAGGACTGATGCTATGTGCAATAATTAAGAATGTAGGAAGAGGTAAGAAGCAGAAGTCGGGCAGAGGCGGAGGCAGGAAGAGCCTGTTCTGCTTCTACATACAGGAGAGGAGGACTCATTTCCTGGTGTGATGAGCAATCACCACAGGGCACAGAGCGGGGACTGCTGTGCAGTTATTAATTGTCCAAATCTTAGTAGCACCTATACATGTGAGGTCAGTCTGCATTAATAGGTAACTGAGCTGCTTCCATGTAGTCTGTTTGCTCAAGGTTTGGCTTTGTAGCACATTTGCCTCTGCACTATAAAAAAATTCAGCCAAAAGCTGCATCCTACAGGCTGGATACATATGCTGGAGGTGACACACTTTGTAGAAATGGTAAGTCAATACACATTTTTCCACTGGTAAAAATGGGAGGTAAACATTGCTCTTTTAAAAATATAGATTTAGATTTTCTTAGTGAAAGCTTACCTGGTGCTACAGAACTACTTGTGCAACTTGTATATTTCTTACCAAATACTGAGAGGAGTCTAAGGAGAATAAGAGTCTATGCATGTTAAATTAATTATACCATGACTATGAATTTAAAAGAAGGTTGCTAGGTTCTCTCCCGCACTGTGCATGTATACAATTTACACATGCGTCTGACGAAGTGGGCATTCACCCACGAAAGCTTAAGCTCCAATACATCTGTTAGTCTTAAAGGTGCCACAGGACCGTCTGTTGCTTTTTACAGATCCAGACTAACACGACTACCCCTCTGATACTATACAATGTAGTGGGTGTTTTTCCAAGTGATCTTTTACTGCTGGGAGAAGCCAGCGCTATAAAAGTGTCTCTGATTCTAGATAAATTTAGAATCACTTTCTACGGATTGATGCAAAGGGTTCTAATGGGTCAGTTCATCCACCCCAATGCTCTGATTTCGTGACCCCCAGATCAACAGTATTCAAGAACGGGTGGCTCTCTCATTCCAGCAACATTAGCCAATCGAAACACATTTTGGTGAGTTCAAGGATACACATTTCTTCTGGTTTCTAGAATCTTTTAGCTCATTGTCATGCCAACCCATAACTTTACCCAGACCCTTAAAGATCCCTTAGCACAGTTCTTTAACCTAAATAATTCAGGTTGTCCTGGTCTATTTGCCTTCAACTTTTGACAACTTTTATGAATAATTTGATGTAACAGGCTGAGTTGGATTTTTGTTACCTTGGACAACCTAAAGCTCAGGCCTCTCCACAACAAATCTAAGCATTTCAAACCTGATGGGCAGACCAGCTA